GTGCACAGAGAGAGTTCCACCTAAAGTCATGGTTCTGTTTGTTGGCTGTATAGTGTGTGTGCACAGAGAGAGTTCCACCTAAAGTAATGGTTCTGTTTGTTGGCTGTATAGTGTGTGTGCATAGAGAGAGTTCCACCTAAAGTCATGGTTCTGTTTGTTGGCTGTATAGTGTGTGTGCACAGAGAGAGTTCCACCTAAAGTCATGGTTCTGTTTGTTGGCTATATAGTGTGTGTGCACAGAGAGAGTTCCTGTCTAGTTCCAGTATAGTTCTCCACCTAGTCCTTTTAGGCAAAATGTCTCCTGAACCTGGGACTTGCTGCTGCTGCTTTTTTTCCTCAGCTAGTCTGGAAGCCAACAAGCCTCAATGATCCTCCTGTTTTGACACATAAACACACACACACACAAATAATATTTAAAAACAAACAAACAAACAAACAAACAAACAAACATGCCAAGCATGGTGGTGCGTGTCTTTATTCCCAGGACACTGGAGGCAGAGGAGGGTGGATCTCTTTGGGTTCCAGGACACCCAGGACTACATAGAGAAGAGACCCTGTCTTAAAAAAAAAAAAAGCAAAGTAGCAGCAGCTAGGTCTAGGGCATTCCTGGCCTGCTCCACCCTTGGAAATGTTTCCCTTTTCCTGAATAGATCTGTTTGCTCTGCTGAAGAGAGCAGCAGCAGCAGCTAGCTTGGTCTTAGGCAGCGGGTGGCCTTCTGCGAACTGAGGGAAACACTTGCATGTCTGTGCTGCTGTGGTGGAAACTGGTGAGGACTGAGGGCAAGACGGTTGAGTCTTTGACCAAAGCTCTGTTGGGCTGACTGGTGTGGGCTTCCTGAGGGTAGGACTTTGAACTGACTGTATAGAGTTTGCTGTGGAGACTTGAATTTTATTGGAGATACATTCTTACTAGTTTTTTTGTTTTGTTTTGGTTTGGTTTGGTTTTTCGAGACAGGGTTTCTCTGTGTAGTTCTGGCTGTCCTGGAACTCACTCTGTAGACCAGGCTGGCCTCGAACTCAGAAATCCGACTGCCTCTGCCTCCCAAGTGCTGGGATTAAAGGCGTACGCCACCACTGCCCAGCCTTACTAGTTTTCACTTTAATTTTTTGTTACAATTATTGTGAAATATGAGTATTTTAGAAATTCAGAAAAGGGTGTCCTTCATTATTTTTAAGGTGGAGGCTGAGCGACAAGCCAGCAAGGAAGAAGAAGACAAAGCCAGTGAGGAATACATACAGAGATTGCTGGCAGAGGAGGAGGAGGAGGAAAGAAGACAGACAGAGAAAAGACGGCGTGAGATGGAAGAGCAGCTGAGAATCGATGCAGAGCTGGCACAGAGGCTAAGCTCCAGTATCGTAAGTCTGCACAGACATGCGCCCATCTTTGGCACCTGAAGAAGGCGCCACAACAAGTAGACGTTTTTTAGGATATCTTTGTTTTACTAGAGGAAAAAAAAAATTTTAATTTGTGAGTATATACCACATGTGTTTGGGTGTCCCCAGGGCCAGAAGGGCGTCAGATCCACCTGAATTCTAGGCAGTCTTGAGCACCTGACATGGTTGATAGGAAGTGATTGGGTCCTCTAGGAAAGCAGTGAGTGATTTAAACCTCAGCCATCTCACCAACTCCAAGATAAATAATAGTAATAATAACAACAACAACAGACTTTTCTTGTGTTTTGTTTGTTGTTGTCTATTTGTCTGTCTGTAGTCCCGTGCAGTCTAGGAACTCCCAGTGTAGATCTCACGGGTCATCTGCCTCTGCCTCCCTCTCCCTCTTTAGTGCTAGTATTAAAGGCCTGTACACTACTCCCAGCCCAACAACCTTTTTTTTTTTTTTGGTTTTTCGAGACAGGGTTTCTCTGTGTAGCCCTGGCTGTCCTGAACTTACTCTGTAGACCAGGCTAGCCTCAAACTCTCAAACTCAGAGATCCGCCTGCCTCTGCCTCCCAAGTGCTGGGATTAAAGGCGTGCGCCACCACTGCCCAGCCTCAGTAGTCTTTAAAAAACTTACAGAATTTAATTTTTTGAAAAAATATTAAGAATTTTGAGTTAGGGGCTAGAGTGATGGCTCAGTGGTTAAGAGTATTGACTGCTCTTCCAGAGGACCCAAGGTTCAATTCCCAGCACCCACGTGGCAGCTTAAAATTGTCTCTAACTCCAGTTCCAGGGGATATGACACCTTCACACACACAAACAAGCAGGCAGAACACCAGTGTACATAAAATAAATTATTTGTCATAGTTGGTGTTTTACTGCTATGAAGAGACACCATGACCAAGGCAACTCTTATAAAAGACAACATTTAATTGGGGCTGGCTTACAGAATCAGAAGTTCAGTTCATTATCATCAAGGCAGGACCATGGCAGTGTGCAGGAAGAGCTGAGAGTTCTATATCTTGTTCCAAAGGCAAACAGGAAAAGGCTGGTTTCCAGGAAGCTAGGATGAGGGTCTTAAAGCCAGTGATACACTTCCTCCCACAAGGCCACACCTCCTAATAGTGCCACTCTGTGGGCCAAGCATATTCAAACCACCAAATTATTTTTTTAAAAATTTTAAATTAAAAAGAATTTTGAGTTAATACAATTCAAAGCTTTTTATTTCATCGAGTTCTCCTTAATAAAATGTCTTTCTTTGTTTTTCTTGTTACTGAAGAACAGTAACTACGAGAGAAATATCTTGGCTTCTCCTTTGAGTTCCAGAAAATCAGATCCAGTCACAAACAAGTCACAGAAGAAAAATACAAACAAACAAACAAACTTCGGCGGTATTGAAAAGTAAGTGAACATGGCTGTCATTTATCCATTGATCGTCTACTGTATGCCTTTGGGTTGTGATCCACACTGACTACCAAGTCTTTAAGGTTTGTTAATGAGCTTTTGTTTTGTCTTTTAAAAATTTACTTACTTTTTTTTTTTATATGTTTAAGTGTTTTGCCTGCATGTAAATGCATGGGATGTATGCTGGGTGCCCTTAGATGCCAAAAGTCAGCACTGGATTGCCTAGTGCTAGAGTTATGGATGTCTGTGAGACATAGTGTAGGCACTGAGAACTGACCATGGCTCTGTATCAGGCATGGCAGCAAGCAGGTATACCTGCTGGACCATCTTACCAAAAAGCTATTTTAATTGAAAGCTTGAGCCAGGCGGTCAGTGATAGCATATGCCTTTAATCCCAGTATTTAGGAGGCAGGGGCATGCAGACCTCTGTGAGTTCAAGGCCAACCTGGACTACAGAGCTAGTTCTTGAATTGTTCTAGTTCTGTGTAGTCAAGGTTACATAGGGAAACTCTGTCTCAAAACAAAACAGGGCTGGAGAAACGGCTCTATTGTTAAGAGCACTGGCTGCTCTTCCAGAGGTCCTGAGTTCAATTCCCAGCAACCATCTGTGATGGGATCCGATGCCTTCTGATGTGTCTGAAAGCAGCTACAGTGTGCTCTTAACCACTGAGCCATCTCTCCAGCCCTGGTTTTGGTTTTTCAAGACAGTTTCTTTGTATCGCCTTGCCTGTCCTGGAATTTGCTCTGTAGACCAGGCTAGCCTTGAACTTATAGTGATCCACTTGCCTGTGCCTCTCAAGCATACCATCACTGCCAGGCTATTTAGCTTTTTTTTGAGGCTAGCCTGGTCTACAATCGAGTTCTAGGACAGCCAGAGCTGTTACACAGAAAAACAGAGAAACTGTGTGAGAAAAAAAAAAAGAAAAATGAAAAGAAAAGGAACTCTTTTTAAAAGTAAGAAATGAGGACTGGCAAGCTAGCTCTGTGGATAAAAGCTTGCAGTACCAGTCTGGCAATCTGAGTGTGTTCTCTAGAACCCGTGAAAGAGAATAGAAAAAGAATTGACTCCACAGAGTTGTCCTTGGCACACATATACACACAAACACACACATACATTGTAGCAATAATGTGCCAGTAAACATCAAACCCATTATACACACACAGTAATAAATAGTAAGAGATGAGAGACTGAAGTCTGAGGTGATGTGGTAAGTCTTGTCTAAAAAGAAGGGGAAGACATAGGCTGTAGAAACAAACCCGTGATGTGCAGTTGGTAGCAGTAAGTGAGGTGGAGTGCTGCAGAGCCTCAACTCTTCAGATTGCTGGGCCTTAAGGGCTGCTTCATGCAGCCCTCTGATACACAGTTGTCAGAGGAGTGTAATGAAATCCTCTCATCTAAATGTTGGGGTGTCAGATGCCTCCATGGTTCGTGGGAGGTGAAAGAATAGCATATGTAATGTGTCAGCTCTTGGTTTGTACTAATTACCACCTATAAACCTTTTTTACCGTAAAGAGAATTGGTTTAAGGTAATAACAGATAGCTATAAACATGCATGAGAACCTGGGTACTTGCTGTAAGAAACAATAAAATTTTTCACGCTTTTATTTTAAGAAAAAGTAATAGCCAAAATTTCTGGCAAGACATAATAGCCTCCTTTTAAAAAAATGATTTATTGTTGTTGTTATTTGGTTATTTTTTGAGATACTGTTTCTCAGTGTAGCTATAGGACTGGCCTTGGAACTCAGGCTGGCGTTGAACTCGAGTGCTCTGTCTCCTGAATACTGGGATTAAAGGTGTGTGCCACCACCAGCCTAAAAGGATATTTTTGTGAATTTTTTTGAGAAACTTCATGGTCTTCCATTGTTTGATCCTATCAATCTTTTAAACCTTTTTCAAGAATTATGAGATATTTAATATGACCTTTTTCTTCCTTTTCTGTTTTTACACTAAAATACAGTACTGAATCCCCCACCTCCACCCTCTGCTGTGTTACACAGCAGAAAGCTGAGCCCTCCAGTTTGCTAGCCCGGGAGTCTTGTTGTCCTGGAATACTCAGGGTTTCAAATTTTATCTTAAAGTTGACCTGAGACCTGGAGATGCTCCAGTAAGATAGCCAGCAAACATATAACCTTTAGGCATAAGTGGTTCATCACCTTTTACCATATTGAATTTTTTTCAAGACATTAAAGTTTTAGTAAACTTTAAACATTTTTTTTTTGTTTAAAGATATTTGTCACCTAAGTTGAAGCCTGGGACAGCATGGGAGTGTAAAGCTGTACATGGAGAAGACATCTGCAAGTCTAAGGTATTTTGGTGCTCGGAGTGGGGGGGCATTGACTTCTGCTGTGCATTACTAAGATTTGTGCTATTTTGGCTCACTTTTCTCTAAAGGACCCAGGACAGATACTTTTGTCCTTGTTATGCCCTGGCTACCAGTAGATGCCTCCTTAATAAATACACAAGCAAGTGAGCTTCTCTGTGGCCAAGTAAAACTTTCTCTTTTAAGATTTTATTGATTTATTTTTAAAGGGATTTTGAATTTTTTTTCTTTTGAAAGAGATATGGTTTCTCCATGTTTCCCTGGCTGTCCTGGAATTGGCCTTGTCTCCTAAGGCTGGAGTTAAAGGCTCTGATTTGTTTTTATGTGTATTGGTATTTCAACTGCATGTGTGTATTATGTGTGAGGGTGTTAGATCCCTGGAACTGGAGTTAGAGACAGTTGTGAGCTGCCATGTGGATGTTGAAATTAAACCCAGGTCCTCTGGAAGAACAGCCAGTGCTGTAACTGCTGAGCCATCTCTGTTTTTCCTACATGTGTGTTTATACAACACCTGTGGATGCCTGGGGCCCAGGAAGGTCATAGAGGGCATTACCTTAGTACAGGAGTTAATGAGGTGCCATGTAGGTGCTAGGCATCAAATCTGAGTTCTCTACAAGAGCAGCAACAAGTACTCTGTAAGTGTTCTTAAGCATTGAGCTAGTTCCCCAGCCTAAAACTTTGTGTTCAAACGTAGGCATAGGACAGATTTGGCTTATGGGCCATGGTTTCTTTGGTTGGTTTTGGTTTTTTTCTGGAAAGGATTTTTCTGTGTGTTCCTTTGGCCATCTTGGAACTCACTCTGTAGATCAGGCTGGCCTCACATTCACAAAGATCCGACTGCCTCTGCCTCCTGAGTGCTGGGATCAGAGGTATGTACCATACACCTCAGCTGGGCCATAATTTCTCATCTCTGACTAAATGATAAAATTTACACATCTAAAGAAGACTTTCAAAAAAAAAGAAGAAAAGAAAAGAAAACAAAAAAAGCCGGGCGGTGGTGGCGCACGCCTTTACTCCCAGCACTTGGGAGGCAGAGGCAGGAGGATTTCTGAGTTTGAGAGTTTGAGAGTTCGAGGCTAGCCTGGTCTACAGAGTGAGTTCCAGAACAGCCAGGGCTACACAGAGAAACCCTGTCTTTAAAAACCAAAAACAAAAAAAAAGAAGACTTTCAGATGCAAAGTAGTGCATTTTAGGAGGGCAGTTGCTAGGCATGTATGTTAAGGGGGAGTCCTCACAAATAAGACTGTAAGCAGTGGCCTAAAACATGACACTAAGCAAGAGTGTGATGTCATTCAAACCCCATGTCAGTCTTTTCTGGGCAGTGTGATGTGGCCTATAACCCTTTCATACAGGAGGTTGTAGCCAGAAGATTATGAATTGAACTATGTATAGCAAGTTCCATGCCAGTACACAGTAAGACTCTGTTTAAAAAAAAAAAAAAAGGCAATTATTTCTAATAACATCCCAAGTGTAAACAGTGTAGGGGAGGGGGGCTGATAAGGAACAAACAGAGATGTTTGTTGTTGTTTTGCTTTTTTTAAAAGTCACTTCAAGCTTTGGCTTGAAAAAAAAATGTGTGAGTATTTTGCCTGTATGTATGTATGTTATGTATACATGCTTGCTGTTGCCCGTGGAGGCCAGAAGAGGGCAACAGTTCCCTAGGAACTGGAATTACAGATAGCTGTGAACTGTCATGTGCCTATTGGAAATTCAGTCTAGTTTTCTTAGCCACTGACTCATCTCTTAAGCCCTGCAAATTAAGTTCTTTACCCTAAGGGCTAGGTAAAAGAAAGTATATTTTTGCTAATGTATCTTTCTTCCTTTCTTTCTTTTTTCTTCTTTTTTCTTCTTTTTTCTTTCTTTTTTTTTTTGGTTTTACAAGACAGGGTTTCTCTGTGCAGCCCTGGCTGTCCTGGAACTAACTCTGTAGACCAGGCTGGCTTTGAACTCAGAAATCCGCCTGCCTCTGCCTCCCAAGTGCTGGGGGATTAAAGGCGTGTCCCACCACCGCCCGGCTTTGCTAATCTTTCATTTAGTGTTTCTTTTACTGTTGAATGTAGACAACAAACCACAGTACTAGTAATTGTACTTGTGACTTTGTCATTGAGAGAAAACACAGGTACTGTCTAGGAATGATAGGCTTGGGAGAGCCTGAGGAACAGAGTGGGGCTGGAAGTATAGATCAGTAATACAGTCTGTACATAGTGAGGTCCAGGTTTGATCCCCAGCATCGAAGGAAGGAGGGAGAGGGAGAGGAAGGGAAATATATTTGCTACAGACTTCTTGAATAATCCTCTCTTCCTTAATATACAAATGATTCCATTTGCTACTGTATCTTATTTAATCAATAAAAACCTTTTGTGGGTTTTTATTGATAAACAAAACAATTAACAAAGTAAACAAACAAAAAAAACAGTAAAAAGCCAGGATCTCACATAGCCTAGGCTGGTTTTCAACTTGGTCTGTAGCCAGGGATGACCTTGGCTACTGATCTTTTTGCTTCTACTTTCTGTGTGCTGGAGTTTTGGGTGTATACCACCATGCCTGTTTTTATGTGGTCCTAGAGTTTGAATCCAGGATTTCTTACATGACTACATGATAGACAAGCATTTTGTAATTGAGCTATATCCCCAACTCTTCCTCTATTTTTTTAAAGATATATAACATGTACACTATAGCTCTCTTCAGAAACAAGGCATCAGAAGAGGGCATCAGATCCCATTACAGATGGTTGTGAGCCACCATGTGGTTGCTGGGAATTGAACTCGGGACCTCTGGAGGAGCAGTCGGTGCTCTTAACCACTGAGCCATCTCTCCAGCCCTCCTCAACTCTTCTTACACATTTATTTTTGAGGCAGAGTCTTAATCAGTTGTTTTGGAACTCACTATGTAGACCAGATTGGCCTTGAAGTCACAGAGATACACCTGTTCCCCTTCCTCATGCTGGAATTAAAGTTATGCACCACCACTCCCAACTTACATGTTTGTTTTTTAAATATTGTAATAATGTTGTTAGCATTCTCCTTTTAAGGCCATGTATTGTAAGTTTTACATTTAAAAATTTTTTCTGGGTGTCAGAAGTAGAGCACTAGCCCAGCATGTGGCTAGGGTCCTAGGTTTGATACACATCAACACCAGAAACAAAAACCTAAAGCACAGTGCCAATATACCTATAGTCATGGTACTTGGAAGGGTAAGGTGGCAGAATCTCTTGTCCAAGAGTTTCACATCAGTTTGATAAGTTGTGAGACCCTATCTCAAAAAGACATTTCTCAGAAGAGGTCTTTGTAGATGCTTCATTAAAATACCAAAGAAGGGCTGGAGAGATGGCTTGGTTTTTAAGATAGCTCATTGCTCTTCCAGAGGATCCACTGCTGTAACTCCAGCTCCAGGGAATGTGGACATTTGCACTCATGTTCATACATCTCTCCACCCTACATATACACATAATTAGAAATAAAATATTTAAAATGCCAGAGAAGGTCCACAGCATGTAAAGGTCAAAATACCCTGGATTAGAAGTTTGTAAGGTGGCCAGGCGGTGGTGGCGCAGGCCTTTAATCCCAGCATTTGGGAGGCAGAGGCAGGCAGATTTCTGAATTTGAGGCCAGCCTGGTCTACAGAGTGAGTTCCAGGACAGCCAGGGCTACACAGAGAAACCCTGTCTCGAAAAACCAAAAAAAAAAAAAAATTATCATAGATAGGTTGTGATCTTTGCTACCATCAAGAAAGAGAAGAGAAGGTGTGGGGACAATGGTGATGAGAATCCCTTATTAGTAATGATCCTGTCCAATGACCATTCATCTAAGATATCAGTATAGCTGGCTTATATGTTTTCCCTTTATATACTCAGGAATTTTGTTCTCTACAGGAAACTGACAGTAGTGACACGAAGAGCCCTGTGTTGCAAGACACAGAAATTGAAAAAAATATGCCAACACTTTCTCCTCAGATCTGCCTAGAAACTCAAGAACAAGGTTTGGAGTCTTCGGCAGAGTTAACTGTGCCACAGTTATGTGTAAGGGACACTGAACAGTGCCTTGAGGGAAAAGTTGAAACAGTATCAACCAGTCCTGATGACTTCTGTATTGTAAATGATGATGTACCTAGAGCCACAGTTTCTTACCCTAATGAAGCTGCTTCTAGCAAAATAGAAAATGAAGAGAACTCTGTGTCAGGTGTGACCCCGTTACCTGGGGGCAACGGAGTGCCAGCGGAGAATAGAGTGTATCACTTACTAGTTGCAAAAGAGATTTCTGAAAGAGAAAACCAGGAATCTGTGTTTGAAGAAGTAATGGATCCATGCTTTTCTGCAAAAAGAAGGAAAATATTTGTCAAATCTTCCTCGGATCAAGAAGAAAAAGAAGTGAATTTTACACAAAAATTGATAGATTTGGAACATATGCTTTTTGAGAGACATAAGCAAGAAGAACAGGACAGATTGTTAGCATTACAACTTCAGAAAGAGGTAGATAAAGAGCAAATGGTGCCAAACCGGCAGAAAGGATCCCCAGATCAGTACCAGTTGCGCACATCTTCACCCCCAGACAGGCTGCTGAATAGACAGAGGAAGAATTCCAAAGATAGGAACTCCCCAAAGCAAACTAATGCAGATCGTTCAAAATCTCAGAGGAGCAGAAAAGGTGAATATTGGGAACCCTTTAGAAGCACATGGAAGGGTTCAGTTAATGGAACAAAGATGCCGACTTCTACTAAAGATAATTGTAATGTATCTACAAGTGCCCATCCCCTACAGCATAGTAACTCACAGAAAAGCATTTTTCAAATGTTTCAGAGATAACCAAGCAAAGCATGGGGAAAGAGTTCCATAATCCGGGAAAGCTGTTTGCAAAGCTAGCTCTTCTGTCATAATATCCTGAGATGTGTCATTAGCTTCTGCTCAGCAAGCACACTTACTGTCTTTAAGGTGTGGTTACAAGGGAAGAATTTATGAGTCAGTGATAAGAAAATGTCTTTGAGAATTGTTTCCATTGTCAATAACTGCTATGTTCTAAGTGTGACATCTTCACAGGTATAAAAACAATTTGGTCAGGACATCTTAAGGTGCCATTTCCCTTTCCAAAAGTTTTATGGCCTTTTTTTTTTTCCTTTTTTTTTTTTAATGAATGAGTAAGGAGTCCACACAGGTATCTTCTATAACATTAATTAGTTCCCATCCTAGTTTTAATTCTAAGCATTTTAACATTTCCTTTTATTTAAAATGGATTAGTATCAACATTGAGTAGTTACAAAAAAGCTGCTAGGTTGATAATGCAAATGTTTAAGAGTGGGATGGGCTGAGTGGTGGATTGGTAGTTAGGAAATCCCTGGAACTGAATGGGTAATCAGAAACCGGGTCCACCAAGGGCACCTGATTTCTTGTAGCAGAACATTCTCCTTAATCCCTTTGTTAAGTGGCAGAAAATATTTATCAGAGTTTACAGTTTCTTTGCGCCATGGCATCTTGGTGTGAAAGGGCAAATTGGTATATTTTTACTGATCTCTTCTAGAAAAAAATAAATTATTGTAAGACGATTGTACTGTGCTCTGCTGTTGAACATCTGGCATGACCATCCTTACTGCTTCCTGGCTTAGATACATGCTTGCTTGTGCACACAGATGCAAAGTGCTGTGTGACACAACCAATGTCATCTTGTGAAGTTGGGCTTCTGCTATCATCTTCTGTTCAGACAACTTAGCAAACTGTAGTTTCAGTAGAGCTTCTTCTTGTGTCCTGGCTCCATTTATGTCCTGTGAACATAATAAAATGTCCTAATGCAGTGTTTGGCTTTATCCACATTCTTGTCATTTGAATTTTTTTCTTCTGAGTTTTGAAACTTTTTTTTTTATGTTTATCTTGGCAAATTTTTTTCTCTAAAAGCAATTTAATGCTTTAAGAAGACAGTGTTGGGGGCTGGAGAGATGGCTCAGTGGTTAAGAGCACCAACTGCCCTTCCAGAGGTCCTGAGTTCAATTCCCAGTAACCACATGGTGGCTCACAACCATCTGTAATGGGATCTGATGCCCTCTTCTGATGTGTCTGAACACAGCTACAGTGTACTCATATAAATAAAATAAATCTTTAAAAAAAAAAAAAGAAGAAGAAGAAGACAGTGTTGGGACTTCAAATTAGAAATGATCACATTTAATCTTTGTGGAATAGTTCATGACCAAAAAGGGAGTAAGAAAAACATTCGGTATGATATAGTGAGAATTTGTATATTCACCACCAGTTTGTCTATGGGGAATCTTCCTGATTGAATTGTTTTCAGGTTTTTAGTTTCTCTGTCAGCCTTTCTGTTATTCTTACTGTTGATGCCTTTGTGTTAGAAAGTATTAGATGTTTTTAAATTGGTCATCAGTGAACTGCTTTTTCCTCATTTTTGTTGGAAAATAAGTCCCAGTATTAAAGCTGTGCAGATTTGAAAAAAAAAAAAAAAGCTGCCTGGCATGGTAGCACAGCCCAATTAATCTCAGTACTTCAGAGGCAGAAGATCTCTGTGAGTTCTCAAAAAAAAAAAAAATGATTAATAAAAATTGGCTCTCATGTTTATTTTACTACACTGTAATTAAAAAAAAAAAATGGCTACAAACCAGGCACGGTTGTACATGCCAACCCTCTCAAGGCTAAGGCAGGATTTTGATGGTCAAGCTGGGCTGTGATAGCTACATTCCCAGCCCAAGTGAGTGAAACTCTGTCTCCAAAACCAAAACAAAACTTGGCTACATAAAAATTAGGCATGTGGCCGGACGGTGGTGGCACATGCCTTTAATCCCAGCACTTGGGAGGCAGAGGCAGGTGGATTTCTGAGTTCGAGAGTTTGAGGCTAGCCTGGTCTACAGAGTGAGTTCCAGGACAGCCAGGGCTACACAGAGAAACCCTGTCTCGAAAAACCAAAAAAAAAAAAAAAAAATTAGGCATGTGTTATAACAAAATTCCATAAAACTTAACTTAGTTGCTAGGCATAGTGCCATATGCCCTTTACCCGACTCTTGTAAGACTGTAAGACGGGAGGGCCGATCCCTGAGGTAGAAGGCAGCCTGGTCTACAGTGAGACCCTGTCTGCATTCATCTATTTATTGTGAGGAGCTGTGTGCTGCAGCATGTCTTTAGAGCTGGGGCTTCCAGCATGACGGCTGTGGGATTGTACTAGGAAGCCATCCTGCTGCTCCTACAAGGCGTGCTTAATGAAGTCCTAAGTGACGGTTAGCAGAAGGGAAGGCACAGGAGGGAAAACAGGAGCATTTCTCAAAGAGTCATCTCTATAATACTTTGGAATTCTGAATCATGCTAAAAATATCTAGTAAAAGTAGCCTTAGGCTGGGCAGTGGTGGCGCACGCCTTTAATCCCCCAGCACTCGGGAGGCAGAGGCAGGTGGATTTCTGAGTTCGAGGCCAGCCTGGTCTACAGAGTGAGCTCCAGGACAGCCAGGGCTACACACAGAAACCCTGTCTCGAAAAACAAACAAAAAAAGTAGCCTTAGATGTTCTTAAAATATTTCATGGTGTCTGTAAAGCTCAGCCTGTACTACTCCATGTGAATTTTTGGTCTTGTTTGGCTTTTTAACTTTTTGAGGGTATGTTATACATCCTGGGTATTATGTCATTTTCACCATGTGTGGTGTATGTTGATCCTACTCATACATCCCAGCTCCCCTTTAACAGTACAGCATAGTCTGGCCTTGAATTTGTTTCTGCCTTTTTAGCATCAACCACTACAACCAGGCAGTTAAGAATTTTAAATTAAATTTTTTCAGCATGGAAAAAAATAGAGCATTGACATTTTTTTGGATTATTTGCTTTGATTTTTTTTTTTGATCATTTGATCCAGGTAAGACTGTGGCAGACCTACAGTCCTGCTGTGAACAGAGAGAGAAACTGGATTGAAAAACAATGGATGCAAGGCAGTGGTGGTGCACGCCTTTTGTTTTTGTTTTTTCGAGACAGGGTTTCTCTGTGTAGCCCTGGCTGTCCTGGAACTCACTCTGTAGACCAGGCTGGCCTGGAACTCCGAAATCCGCCTGTCTCTGCCTCCCAAGTGCTGGGATTAAAGGCATGCGCCACCACCGCCTGGCGGTGGTGCAGGCCTTTAACCCCAGCACTCAGAGTAGCTGGAGGGCAGCCATATATAGCCCCAGGATAATCAGGACTACACAGAAACCCTATATTGGGAGGGAAAAAAGAGGCTGGAGATAAGGCACAGTGGTTGAGTACTTGCCTGACAGTCCCAATGTCTTAGCTTCCATACTTATTAACCCACAGGGGTTGGATGGGAGTGCTGGGGGCACCTGTTGCACAACTTCAAATGGGCAGGAAGATCAGGAGTTCTAAGCTACATGGAATAAGAAGCCAGCCTGAGATTTATAGCTTCTCTGCCTTGGAGTTCTTAGGCCAGCATCTCAAAAATACAAACTGAACAACTTCCCCACAGTTATATAGACAGTAACAACTGCTGAAGAGAGAAGAGTCTTTGGTGGAGCTACCTGCAAGTTGGACCAGAAGCTCATTGGATGCATCTTCAGTAAGCCCATTCTGGAGTGACCTTTTCAGTGTTGGAGTCAGCAGCTGCCTTGAGTCACCATGTGCCTGTAAGCAACTTCTCACCATGCTCCTGTAGGCAGCTTCAAAAACCACTGGTTAACAAAACAAAAACCACCAGGCGTTGGTGGCACACGCCTTTAATCCCAGCACTTGGGAGGCAGAGGCAGGCGGATTTCTGAGTTCAAGGCCAGCCTGGTCTATACAGAGTGAGTTCCAGGACAGCCAGGGCTACACAGAGAAACCCTGTCTCGAGAAAACAAAAAACAAAAACCAATGAACAAAGCACAACCTATAACTGGGTCTAAAAGAAAACACAAAATTTTGATACAGCTAGGTGTTGTAGGTAGCCCATGCATTTAATTCTAGCGTTCCTGAAGCAGAGGCAAGTAGATCTTGCAGAGTTCTAGGCCATCCTTGTCTTCATAGAGATTCCAAGAGAGCCAGGGCTGGAGGCAGTGCTGTATAATGAGATCATTTTGGGTCGTCAGTTAAGAGCATTTCCAGAGGACCTGGATTCAATTCTCAGCACTCGAATGGCAGCTCACAACTGTAACTCTTCTAGCCTTCCTGGGCAGAAAAACACGTGCAGGCAAAACACACATGTAAAAGAAGTAAAAATGAAACCACAGCGAGTATTCAATCTCCTGGCTATCCAGGTGATGTTGCAACCAAGGAGATTTTTACAGCTCTGAGGGGAAGTTCCCTGATGCATGTGTTGAAGATCTGAGGGGAGAGGTATCCTGGCTGGGGGTGCCAAGGAGTAACACGAAATCACAGTCCACAACAAACCTCACTCGAGATTTTATTGGGAGACACACAAGAGGGTGGCTGCCTCTGGGCAAAAAGCATCGGGGAACTAAGAAGACGGGCTTATAGTTTTTTTTTTTTTTTCGAGACAGGGTTTCTGTGTAGCCCTGGCTGTCCTGGAACTCACTCTGTAGACCAGGCTGGCCTCGAACTCAGAAATCCACATGCCTCTGCCTCCCAAGTGCTGGGATTAAAGGCTTGCGCCACCACCGCCCGGCAGGCTTACAGTTTTTGAGCACACACACACATTTTTTCTGGGTGGGTACTGGTAGAATTGCAAGTCTTTAGCTTTTCAGGATGCCCAGGGATTGATGAGTTTGTTTTTCTGGGTTTTTTTTTAGCTCAATGATTGGTGGTTTTTCAAAACCAGGAAGTGAGCTTGGATTTTTTACCTCATAGAACACTGAAATTAACTGTAATTGAGGAAGTAATTTATTGCTTCCTAAGCTATCAGGAGCTCAGGGTGTAGGAGAGGATATACCCTGAAGACCTCTGAGGAGGAAATACTTCCACTGTTGCTTGTATCTCTGAGATAGCCCCATTAGTCCACTTCTAGACAAGCTGGAGGGCTTTGAAGGCTGGAATCAAACTGGCACTCTAACAATGATAAGAAAGCCAAAGAGCCAGCCTGGTCTACAGAGTGAGTTCCAGGACAGCCACGGCTACACAGAGAAACTCCCCAGTCCCCCACCCCCCAAAAAAGAAAGAAAGCCAAACAAGCTGGAGGTAGCTCAGCTCTTCCAGAAGAACACATGACAACTGTAACTCCAGTGCCCAATTCCAGGGAATCCACCACCCTCTTCTGGTCTCTACAGACTCTGTATACACATAGTGCACATACATACATGCAGGCAAAACACGCATACACATAATAAAATACGTAAATAACATAAAACTTTTTTCTTTGGGTGGAAGGCAAAATAGGGTCTTATATAGCCCAGGCTGGCCTGGGACTTGCTATGTATCTGAAGATGACCTCAAACTACTGATTCTCCTATCAAGTTCTGGGATTACAGCTGTGTGCAACCACACCTGGATATTTTTTTTTCCTTTAGTATTTGAATTTTAATCCAGCAGCCATTTACTCCTATCCCCAGTTAAGTTTTTAATTTATTATTTTTGTTTTTCAAGACATGGGGGTCTCTGTGTAGCCTCGTCTGTCCTGATACTCTGTAGACCAGGCTGGCCTGGAACTCAGAGTCATCTGCCTCTACCTCTGGGATAAAAGGTGTGTGCCACCACACCCAGCTCAAAATTCTTTTCTTTATAGGAAGCCAAAGCAAAGGAGTCTGGGAGTTGTTTTAAATCATAGCAATTTAGAATGCCAACTTTGAGCTGCAAAAAGAGAAAAGAAAACAAACCACAAGTGTTTTCCTTTCAGAGATGTGACTAAGATAACCTATTTCTACTTATAAACAGTCTCCTGTATCCCAGGATGTTCTTGAACTCT